AGTGAGACATTTATTAAGTGAGTTTTGCCTCATTTTGCTACCTTCCTTGCCACAATTGTTAAGTGAAATATTGCAGTTGTTAACTTAGTAACACAGTTGTTACTCCAAGGTAATGTACACAGTATTTTTTTTTATATCCACATTTTCAGTTCTCTGCCGCAGAATATTTTGAACCTGTGTGCTCTCTGGCCTGGACCATATTGCATGAATAGTTGGGAACGAGAACTTTCCTTCAGTTAGGTCTTCACAAAAGCTTTTGTTTTCACTATATTCTTTGGAGTGTAAATTTGCATAATCATCTCTAATTTGAAAGAAGAGCCCAAGAGTGTTAAGGAGTGGTTTCAGATCATTTTTATAATTTGAAAATAACTGCATAAGGCCCACGGCTAGTCCAAAAAGGCCACCTGTCTTTTGCAGAGCCATGGCTTTATATTCTTCTTCTGTAGGACAGGTATATGTATCTCTCCAGTAAATATCCAGGCCTTGCCCCTTATGGAGTTCAAGTAATTGACTGGTGAATACTTTTACAGCATCTGGATGATCAAGCGTTAAAACCTTTTGTAGACCAAGGAAATATACAAAGTTTGCACAGTTTATCACATACGGTATTCCATAAATGCTGTGGGCCACTGGAAAACCACGTCGTAGCTTTGAATTGTCTTCTATGTCATCTATAAGCAAACTTGCATTGTGCAACATTTCTGTAACTTCAATTATGATCTATTAAAAAAGACAAAATAAACTTTTATATTGCTGTTATTCTTCTATATTTAGATTCCCTGATTATTTCTATTTTCATTTCTTGCAATATGTTAATTCTCTCTGCTAATTAGTTTCTCAATTCCATCTTACTGACTATTATTCTCACTGGGACTACACACTCCTATTGTCTGTGTTTCTATATATTTGTTTGTATAAAGAGGCTTTTTTTTAGTATGAACAAACTTACACAATATAATTAGTGACAGATAACCTTTATATGCACACAATAACTCACACATGAAATGATATGCTGTGTGTGTGTGTGCGTATGTATATATGTGTATACACACACACATACAGACACACACCAAACATAATACACCTGACTACAGAATTAATATTTATGATATTACAACACACACACACACAAAGTCTTAATGATTAAAGTATTCAAAATGTGTGAAAACAGCAATCAAGAAATGAATGCTTTGGCATGGCATGCTAACCAAGTTATTTGTGCTCTTCATCAACCCTCTTTCATCATATTACAGCAGAAATATATTTGATGTGATGCAAATAAATAGTTTTCTCATGCCCATATATCATACCCATATATTTGGGGGACAAATAGGCTGTGATATGTGTGGAAAACTGTCTTTCTCATTGCATAGTACAAATTAGAGTGCAAAGTAGGGGATTTGTTTCAAGAGATCTTTGGCCCTGATGAACAAATATATCCAACATTTATCAAGTAGTCCTCACTCATTTAGGTATCACATTAAGCGCACAAAATAAAAATGTTTGGAAAGCTCAAACTGCTCTTTTCCTTGCAAACAATGTTTTGTTGCAGTATATCACAATCTGAAGCAGTTGCACAGAGCACAATACCTTGCCACCAGAGGTTAACATGCTACACTACTGCAATAACTTTAGTTTATATTTCCCTTTGCCATGTTTAAAACTATTATCTGTTAATCAATTTAACTTATACAACTCACCTGTAGTTTGTCTTCTGGAACATTCAACCAGTGATTAAAGGCTTGGGAAAGTTTAGTTCTGACCTGTTTACCTATGATTTTAAAAAGTACATAGATAACACTATACATTTTCATTCTACATAGGTTTAGGCAGATGAACTACCAGTTTATTTACAAACCACACCTTATTTTGTGAATCATCACCATTGGCCTTTGTTCACTCAGCAGAACTTTACACAAGACAGCTGCAATTCTTAATACTAGGCAAAGAATTGTAATTAGCATATTTCATAAATGTAATATTGGTATACTATTTCCTATTATTAACTCCAAAACACTGCTACCAGAAAGCTGAAATTGGACTCTGTATTTGGGCTTTTTAAAAAGGAAATGTGCATGGTACTGAGCTTTAATATCTGGAACTTTCCAGAAGGATGGACAGGGAATTTTTTTTTCCTATACCAGGTTTAACATTCATAAAGAGTAATTTTTGTTAGGACAAACTCAAAAGTCAAACTAAGCTTTTAAGAATTTTAGAGCTTTTAGAGGATGCTACAAAAAGCAGATAGGAGAGAAAAATCTGATTTCATATAGAAATCTGTAAAACTACAATTAAAATAGACAGATTTTAAACAGTTAACCATCATTCTTACATCTTGTCGACTAAAAAAAATTAAGATCTTAAAAGCAAACTGATTAACATCTGAGTTAACTCTTTTTTTCCACATCTTTATATCCTTGGGGCTTGTCTTGGTAAAAAAGTGCACACACCAAAAGAGCAATTTCAATCCCTGGCTGCTTCCTTCATCTATTTCTTTTGTTTGGTAGATAATAAAATTAAAGTCTATATATTCAATGATAAATGCAATTATATTATGGCTTTGATAATGATGTGTGTATCAAGCTATTAGCTAATAACCATATTAAAGATTAAAATTATATTCATATGATATTAGCTCTATCCTAAACATGAAATTTTCTCTTATTTTGCTACGTAATAGACAAAATATGTAAATTAAAAGTTTAAATTCCAGTTTTAAAAACACTTTTTGAATCACCTTTCTCTCTCCAAATACATATACACACACAGTGATGTCACTGATTTTAAGTGAAAGAGTAGCATGTATCCCATAATACTTTAAATAATTGAGATTGGTATTTACTCCATAATCTTGACTTTAATATAGGTTTATGCAAAACACAATGGGTGGATTTACATATTCCACTAAGCCATAGTTTATTAACAAAATACAACTTGCATGGTTTATACATCTTAAATGAAAAACATTTCGTATTAGGCTAGGTTCATAAAATGCACAAAGCAGATTAATGTTTTCTTACCATACGTAAGTGTTCTGAATTTTTTAAAACTGCTATTTTATCCCATGTTTGTTGCTATCACTTAACCCAGAAATTTGTCTATATTTGACTGAAAAAAATTAATGATTCAACCAGTATTAATTTGCTCATCTGCAAGACAGATTAATTTGCTCAAATCATTGTTAAAATAAATCTTAGTTTATATTTTAAGAGGTATATCATTGCAGAACAAGGTGATGTAAATTGAAAACAGAAGACTATAAAATGAAAATTAGATACCAATGGCAATAGCAATAGCAATAGCAGTAGACTTATATACCGCTTCATAGGCCTTTCAGGCCTCTCTAAGCGGTTTA